AGCCTTCCTGAAAGGGAGAAGAAATATGCTGCTTCCTCATCCTCCTCTCCTATATATCTTTCCCTTGAAGTTCAAGGCCAGCAACTTCAGTCTGATGAGGGTAAGAAACTCTAACTAGTTATTCTAGACTATCATCCTTGTGAACTAGTGCTTAAGACTACTGGCCATTTACTAGAACCAACAAGATTGATAAGTTTTATAACTGCACTTGAAATAATCATCAATACTGAATAGGAGAGCTTAGCTTCCTCATTACAGGTCACCCTCAATGACAAGTGAATATGTCCTGTGGTGAAATAAACACTGATAGATGAATTTGGAGAAGATGCACAGAAGTTCTTGGAAGTACTGGTGGTGAACCACTGGAGCTTACTGTGTATTACATGTGTTCAACTAGATCACTTCTGTTAAGAGTAGAAATGTTCTGACAGATATGGAGGCCATAAGGCTGACACAAGCAGCCCTAGGGAGGATGGGGGACTTTTTCTCCTAAAGTCAGAAGTCTCTCTTGATTGACCAAACTGGATGTAACTTTTTTAAACCAAACTGCTTTACGTTTTCATGCTCGTAAGTTTCATGTTCGTGATCAACTTTCGGGTATCTGATTCCCTTGGATTTTTACCAACACAAGAGTGAGCATGGTATTTTAAGGGTTTGAATGCAATACCTTGTGGTTTACTTCCAAGTTTGAGTGTGTCTCCTAATTCAATTTCAGCCCCTTTCCTGTTAAAAGGATGGTGTCTCAGTTTATGTGTGAAACAAAACCTACAGTACAGATACTGGTCTCTCCTAGAGCCGATGAACTCTGTCTACTGTGTTAGATAGCTAAGACACATGCAGTGAACAGAACCCTCTGGCTTCCCTGCAGGAGAGGAGCACTGATGGAGCAGAGTCACTGCCTGGAGCAGTGCTGGAGCCTTCAGAAGGCCTTTGCACCCCCTGGTGGAATAAGGCTTCAGCTCTACCGGGGTGAACTGCTGCTCAGTGGGATGAGAACTGAGTGGATAAGCAGCCTTTAGAAGAGGGTCCTGTGGCACAGGTGTCAAGACCTGTAAAAAAAAAAAATCCATTTGCCTTCCTTAACTCCAGATTCCCTAATGTTAGGATGGCACTTGGAAAATACCATCAATTGCAGGTGGTAGATGATGACATAACATACTTCCAAATGATCAGAGGTAGCTCACAGTTCCTATGAACTAACTTCATCTGGGGGAGCATGACGAATCTTGCTGCTAGACATCATTCTAGTTGCCAGCAGGGAACTGAAGGTGGGATTCATGCCTAAGTGCAGAACAATAGGTTACTGGTACAAAACCTCAGTCTCCTGGCTAGCTGCAAGTAGGCTCGATTGGTTGACACTAATGCTTGTTTTTTTCCTCTCCAGGGTTGCAGGCCACCCACTGGCACAGAATGAGCGCTGTCTTCACATGTTCTTACAAGATGAAGTAATAGACAAAAACTACACACCATCCAAAATAAGACATACTTGAATTCTAAAACCGTCTTCTTAAACATTAGTGGTTCTTAGGCTTGGTTTTAAGAGGTTATAGTTTGTCTTAGCATGCTGAGGATGAACAGGCACGAAGTCTCCAGTAACACCAGTACACTGCTTGGTCTTTGCATATGCTTTATAGCATTTAAGAACTCACTTGTCTTCTAGCTAACTCGCTCTGAATCCTTCATTTAAGAGTATTATACTATGAGACCATCCATCCACCCCCTGCAACATCTCACAAACCTTTCCACTATTATTTGCAATGACTTAACAATGTTTACTGACTTGGCCTTACTTGAACTTTCACAATTGTAGTGTCACGCGTTCACCTGTATTTGACTAAACTGCTATGCTGTTTTTGAGGTAGTCATCTGTCTGAATGTCTGTAGAAAGACTGCTTTATTTCTGATATCCTGTGTGAGAAACACTTATGCAATTGTCTTCAAGCTTGTAAAACACTTTATACTGAAGTAATGAGGGAATTATCTTTATATTCTGTAAAAGGAAAAAATCAAATTTATATACTAAAGTAACTTGTCTAAAGTTTTGAAATAAAAGTGAAAATGCACTTCAAATGTTTTGTCACTCTTGACCTTGAGCGTGGGGTATCTCATGCTTTCTGAGAAGCAGGGATTTGACTATACTAACTGAACTGGTGTTACAGGCTTGCTGTGATGCTCTTCCACAATGTAGTTTTGTATTACTAACAGTGAGCACTAAGAACCCTGAGACGATGGCACTCACTCTGCAAATGTTAAAGAACATATAACGGTATCAAAGGCTGTTCCTGTGGTGTGGAGCTAAAGCTGGAATACCATTCATGGTAGGTAGTCAACAGATCTGTGACTTTAGTAACTTTGGGGAAAGAGTACCTTTCTGCTTGGCGTGAGAAACATCAGTCTAGCTTCAACTAGCTGGTGAAAACTATACCATCCTATAGAGAAAGGAATGTTGACATAACTTCATTCCTAGATAAAAGTAGCTCTGCTCTACAATTACAGTTAGGGACATGAAATCCCGTAAGTCTGCTCTGAGATGTGATCATAGCCCACTTCCCAAAAGGAGGGGTAAGCTGCAGCACTGTGCTTGTGTGACCACTGATGCAATGCAGATAGTCAGCAACTGAACTGCAGTTCACAAGCAGCACTTCGGAGGTTGTCTTTTTCATGAGAAAGAAGTGAGCTGGAGAAGCTTCCTTGGTCTTCCACATGTGACACACGTTTACCTATCCATCTTGAAAACAGATTCAAGAATATTCCAGTAGCAATCTGCTCTAGTGTTTTGTGCTGCTTGGTAGCTACATGTTGACTTAGGCTTGGCTCTGCTGCTTTTTTTCTTCTTGCAATACTACTTATTGCTGTCAAGAGCATTCTACAAACTTGCTGACAAAAGTTATTAGCTTCTTTTTACTAAGGCCACTAACCTCATTTTTGGAAATCTGAATGTCAAAAGACTTAACTGACAAAGCAGTGGTGGCCAACTGGATGAGGTATAGTACTAGTGATTAGCTACACTGAATAGATAGGTGTTTGAATAATTGCTCTTTCCACCTGGTACTTAACTAAGACTGTGCTGATTCTCTCTAATGGTCCCACTCATTAAACCAGGGACCAAAACTGACCGAGTCCACTTACAGCCCGGGGATGTCCAGCTTTTCAAGATGTTTGTGATAATGTAAAATGATTTCTAAAATTCCCTGTGCTTGTTGAATCACACTTAAAAGTTGAATTACTCTTGAAAAAAGGGGAAAGAAGGGTTAGATGTATATGAAGTTTCGTTATGTAGGTTTATATACAGAGTAAGATGTTCTTTTTCTCAATCATTCTTTTCTGAAAAGTACTTCTCTCAGAAATCAAAGTAAATGCCTCATCTTATACCTAAAATATGATGACACAGTCTGTATCATTTGCCATGGAAAGAAAAAAATAAGCCAAAGAGGGAAAAACTGCATACTTGATGTCAAAGTATTCCTATTTCCAAAGCGAGGACTTCAGAGTGTTAGCCTCTGAGAATTACAGGACTCAGGGATATTACCCGGCCTTAAGTCCTTTAAAGCTAACTAGAGACCCTAATTGTAGTGTAGTGTACTGGTTCTGCTTCTGTGCAATCTGCTGTAGTGGGAGCAAGACATAGTCTGAGATTAGCTGTGCATAAACCACAGGGATCTGGGCGTTGTTCCCAGCTCGTGAGTCTTTTAAAACAAATCTGCAGCTGGGCTAAATTCTGCAGGTAAGAGGGTGAGATATGGGTGTACTCCCATTGTTCTGCCTGTTTTGCAGCTGGAAGAGAGCCAGTACGCTCTGTTTTGTCCTCTGGCTTGAGTGAGGTAGGGACTACAGCACACTGCAGAGCGCGGTTGCCTGGTTGCCTTGCAGCAGGGATGCAGTTCCCATTTGTTGCTGCTCTGGGACAGCAGCATGAATCTTATTGAAATGAATGTTCTGTGATGGGTTCTGTGCAACACTGAGTTCAACTTCTTTAGCTTGTAAACTGAATTGTCACAGAGTAGAGAACCACAGTTGATTTTTCTGCCCTATGTGGTTATTTTTATTATAGAGAGCAGAAAATGGTGTAAGGTTATTACAGGTGCAGGAAAAATGGTTTATTGGTTTGTTGGTTTCTTTTTAAGAAAGTACTGTGCCCTGTGGTAAAGGCATTCTCAAGCGCTCCATGCTAGTTTGTAGAGAAGATGTTTTGAGGTCGTGTAGTCTGCGCTTTGTCTCACTGGACTTATCCAAACACTTGTTTTGTGTACTTTATGATCTGGTTGTCTTGGAAAGGATAGAATGTGAGACCTAGCAGAGTGCAAATGGAAGAGAGTTGGGGTGAAAACACGTGAGAATTTTGAGCTTGGAAGTCAACAGAGCTAGGATTGCACTCATGACCCGTACTCCTTGACACTGCAAATCAATGAGCCATTAATATACATTGTATATTTCTACCTGTCATTTTAACATGCATGACTCTTCAATCACTCATTGCCATATGAACAATGTATTTCCCTTCTCCTCTTGCCAACTTTTTCTGTTGACTAGGAGTTGCTTACCTCTTTCTTTGGTGTGATTACACAATTGGGCACCTTAATAAAACCCCAATCTTTTTAATTGAAGCAGTGCTTTTGTACTCATCATCCTTTGTTAGTTGCACAATTCACCAATATTAAAAATTGTAATAACATTAAACAGAAAGCAAATACTGGGTTAGGTCTCTGATGCCCTTAGTTGTGTCCTAGAGAAAACTGTATGTCACCTCCTTGAGAAGGGAACATTGCAGCCAGTGTATATTTGGATTACAGGGAACAGCTCTATGCAGAATCTCAAAAGTCAGGATCACCTAAGCTACTCCTTTGATGTTTGTCTAACCTGTTTTTCAAACCTCTGATGATGGAGACTCCACAGCATCTAAGGCAATCCATTTTAGTAGAGAATATTTCTATTCCCTGGTCAGCGGGGTACAGTGGAAGAAGCTAACTAAGAACAAGCATTAAAAGAATACTGGAAAGTACTTTAAATTCAATATATTTTTATTCTTTGTAAATACAATGAGTACAACTTTTTAACTTCACAAATCGGTTAATCCACTTTGTACAGGAAAAGTTTTACTCATTCTATGATAGTCCAAGTGCTGATCTTTCTCAGTGCTAGTTCCTAATAACAAATTTTGAAAAGTACAGCAGCTATCTTTAAATGTTTTTTTTTCTACATTTTTCATACATCAAATAAGCAGCTTATAACGTTTTTGTGTGTGAGAGGGTATAGGTGAACAAGGCTTCAAAATTAGAACCTGGAGTATTCTAAAAAGGCAATGGAGATTTTTGGAAATTGTTAGCATTGTATCAGTCAACAACTTTTATTTCTTTGAAATAAAATTCCTTCCATTGATTTTTTAATAGTCATTTCATTTCTCCACACATCTCATCGACAAAGAGTTTGGCCACCGTTGCCTTTGGTTTCAGCACTGTGCCAACGGGACAGCCAGCAGGTCACTGAAGCGGTCATCTCCATTGTATTTGGTTTTGCTGTTTTAGTCTTCCTTTCTTGACTTGTATCTTTTCAGGGGTGGGTGGGTGTGAATGTGTGTCTGTGTGTGTGGAAGAAGAAGGAGGGAAGTTTGGGGAGGAAGTTTATAAAGCTCTTGTGTCTTTGAGATGTTAACTGAACAAATCGTGACATCCGCGTCAAAGATCACCGGTTCATTTTGTAGGAAGAATGGAGCTCCCATCGTAAGCTACTTTTTAATCAGTTCTGAAGGCCACTTCATGATGTATTATAGCAGAAGCAATGTTTTGGTAACCTGGTCTTAAATGTTGCCTATCGTATTAAAAACATTTTCCCAACATAGGCTACTTTTAAAACAATTCTGAAGGCCACCACATCTTGTGTTACAACAGAAGCCAAGTTTGGTCACTCAGTTCCAAATACTGAACAAACTAAAGTACCTTCTTTCACATTTTGTCTCAGATCTGCCAGTTAAATGAGAGAATAGCAGAGTCTTTGTTAACTATGACTGGCATCTGAATTGCCTCCATCCTGTAGTAACAGGAATAGCAGCCAAATTCCAACCACTTTCACTTTTTCTGTAGAACAAAGCATTCTCTCCATGATCTAAATCACTCTGTTCAGAGCAGCAGAATCATATCTACTGGGGTGGTTTTTGTCAATGAGTTTAAGGGCTAAACATTCCCAGGCTTATGCTTCCTGTAGATTTTGTTAGTTGAGGCTTATTCTCCATAGATAAAAGTTCTTCTCAAACTGTCCATCCTGATTGTTTATTTTAAGGTAATTTATATGTCGCTGGATTTGTACATATCTGAAAGCAGTCTTGTAATTGGTACATTCCCAATGGTCTTTTTGAAAAACACTTCTTCTATTGTAGATGGACTAATTGAACGTAAAGCTGGTAAAAGCAATAAAAGTTTCCCAAAACGACAGGGTTGTGTGGGATACCTGGGAGATGGAGAGAGAAAGAATGTTATTGAAGTTTTCAAGTATTTTTGTCAGAGTAAGTATTTTATTTCATAGAAAAGGACCAACATTCAATAAACTGTACAGATGGTGCTACCTGTGCTAAAGCCCTGTGTTTTGTACTCATGTGAGCAAAAAGATTGACTCCAAGGAAATCTATATAGCTGTTAGCAGAATATAGAACAAAGTTTCTGAGTTTTGTTTAGCTCCTTTGTTTATTCCCCTAGAGCAATAGCAATATAAAGACTGGATCTGCTCTGATGTGTCCCTCATGCGACAACTATGTTCTCGATGCAGTTCAGGGAAGAGCTTGACCTGTAATAACTACCCTCTCATTTAAAGTGCAGTTTAAACCTAGCCAGATTGTCATGGTAATCACTTTGCCCCTTTTTGGTTGACATATGTATTGAATGCCAGTTGACATTTTTGAAGAAAATTTTAGTTAACGAAGCTATGTTTATCCCCAGGTAATGTGTTTGTGTACAGGATATTTTCCATCCTTTCTCCCAGGTTTTGAAGCGAACACAACATAGGGTGTGCGTTCTAGCTGTGCTTCCGCTGCCCTTTACACCAGCGATTCTCAAACTTCTGCTTGCAGTGGTCTCCCTGAAAGGAGGAGTAGATCATTTGGAGAAATGTGCTGCTTCTCCAGACTGCCGTCCCTTGCATCCTGTTGACTCCACTGAAAACAGCTGATACTGCTGTAACACTGGCAGGAAGGTAAATTCAAGCCTGAGGATGAAATGCACGCTGAAAGCCCTCTCCCAGTGAAGTCCAAGTGACAGTCCTGTCAGTGGACTGCAGATTTTCTCTTGTAAAAGGCTATCTTTTACAACAGGTATTGTTTAGCCCAGTAGCTAAATACTTCCAGCAACACAGAAATGCAGCAGAAAAATTGCCATGCCTGGAATGAAAACACTGGCTGTGTATTCCTCCCTGGCTTCTCTCTCCAGCAGGCCCTGTCTCAGTCTGTAGGGAGCAATCTTCCCGGAAAAGGCCTTCCCTAAGAGCAGGAAGAGGCTGCTATCCAGCGGTTATTCTTTTTGTTCTGAAGCAGCCATAACTGGATGGAATTTGCATATTTACTCCCATCCTCAATCAGGCCATTCCCTTTAGAGTAATAGAAGTGATCAGAGACTGCTGCTGTCTAATCTCTGATGTGGAGTAGCCTTCTGCCTGACAGAGCTATTATGACAGCAAATCAAAGTTTCAGAAAGAAAAGATGGTATTGAAGTTTCTCTTTTAGGGCTCCCGTCTCCCACTGTTCTAGTCTCATGGACCTTCACTGCAGCTAAACAACATAGACGTGGACTTTACAAGCCCTGTGACAACTCTCCCTGGGAGTCCTGAACCAACCAGGGCAGTGTTGCAGATGATGTTGGGTAACACCTTCAGGCTTCTCCCCTGTCACACGACTCTGAAGTGGTCCATAGCAGGAGGTTACTGATCTGTTCCCAGCCAGCTGTTCTAGAGTGTGGGGTTGTACTTTGCACATTTTCTGGGCTCACCCCCATACACTTTGTGGAATGACAGCTACAACTTTTACAGCAGGTTTTAAGATTTCTGTATCCTATGGAACTTGTCCTGAATTAGACAAGGGGAAATATTTTCTTCCCAGACAATGATTCTCATCACTCTCCCACTGCACCACAGTGAGATTCACAAGTTCTGGGTTTTTTGTTTCAACCCGAGCACAGACACAGGCTAGCATCTTGAAAGAGCCACTTAAGATCCTTGTGTCCTGATTTCTATGTCTGCAATGTGGGGGAAATCATATGGGAATTGGAGATCATGGGTAAAAAGCACTCATACTGGTCTGAGATGTGAAGTTTTGAGTATCACTTTTAGAGGTATTTATTGGATAAAGTGTAGAGGAAAATGTAGACCTCTGAACTGCAAAGTTTTCCACAGCAGGTGTCACTTCCCAGGGGAAGATCTCTCCTATTAGCACTTTTCTGTTTGTTTAAATACACTGAGGTGCTGGAGCATACCCAAAGAAGGGCAACAAAACCAGTGAAGGGTCTAGAGCACAAGTCCTCTGAGCAACAGCTGAGAGGGCTGGGGTTGTTCAGTCTGAAGTAAAGGAGGGAGGGGAGACCTTACCACTCTACCTGAGAGGAAGTTGTAGTGAGTTGGGTTTTGGTATCTTCTCCCAAATAGCAAGCAGAGGAAACAGCCTCAAGTTGCGCCAAGGAAAGTTTAGATTGAATATTAGGAAAAATTTCTTCCCCAAAAAGGTTGTCAAGCATTGGAACAGACTGCCCAGGGAAATGGTGGAGTCACCATCCCTGAAGGTATTTAAAAGACATGTAAATCTGGCACTTGGGGACATGATTTAGTGGTGGACTTGGCAGTGTTAAGTTAATGACTGAATTTGATGATTTGAAGGGTCTTTTCTGACATTTTCTGTAGTTCTCTTCCATCAAGAAATGCCTAATACCAGCAGGCTGACAGCCAGTGAATACTTGCTGTAACAGCCCAGTCCCCACTTCAGTCAGTGCAAATGTCATCTTCAGTACAGTGAGAGTAGGATTTTACCCCTACACCTGCCAGAAATATTGAGAGAAGACACCACTCACCTGGTATGAATGTAGCTGTTCAGAGTGAGCTGGGCTTCATCTTGAAGGGCTGCTATGGCAGCAGCATTTCGGAAACTCCTCAGTTCAGAACCACTGTGTGTGGGCACTGGAAAGCAGATCAGTTACTAGTTCAGCTTGACTCTTGGGTGGGTCAAAACAAGTTCAGCTAGTGCTATCAACGGAAATTAAATGTTCCTCTTAGTTTCCTAGCACTCCACTGTCAGTCATTCAAAATGCAGCACTGACTACTGGAATTCAATACTGGGAAATCAGTTGGGTGATACAAAGCTGTATCTGGCTTAAACCATAATTTTTTTCTTTAAAGTAGCAACCTCGTAGTCACCAGACCAGCTGAGCAAGAGATTCTTTCTGCTTACCAGCTTTGAAAGTGACGATGCATTTGAGACAGGCAAATTCAGTAGCATCTAGCCGAAGTTGTCTAAATCTAGCCACAACCTCCTGTAAAGCCTGTATTTCTGAAATAATTTTATTCAGCTTCTGAGAATCTGTATTGTCACCATTCATGCCTGAAACAGAAACAGATGAAATAAATAATATTAAAGGCATTTCCTTTATTTTATATTGATTTCTGACAAAATCCTCTGTATCAATATCCACTCTATTGTCACACTTGTCTATCTGGTTCCATGTAAACTGACTATATTGTATGAAAGTTAATATAAAATCTTCTCTTGGATGATAACAAACACAGTAATTTGCATTTAAATGACAATGCAAGCGGTCATGAATACAACAAAACAACATTATTTGCATTTAAATATAGATTTATAAATGACAGGTATGCTCCATTGTTCAGTAGGAATTTGTTATTCTTTACATGTTGTTCTTTTTTCAGTAATGTATTTTTATGGTAATTTTTGTAACAAAGTCATTAAATTGTGCAATTCTTACCAGATACAGCCAGTAGAGTGTTAGCATCAACTGGAATGGCCCATTGTGCTATTCCTAGAACAAACAGTTCTCTCCAAGCATCTTCCAAAAGCATCAGCTGTCATACAATAGATGTACAATATAACATAGTGTATAATTTATAGATTTATAAACAATTTAAATATGTAAATTTCTGTTATTTTAAAAACTGCTTTAAATGCCTGTCATGGTATTTTCCCCACAGCATTCATTAGCTCTTCTCTTAGGTTTTTGAGAAGGTGTCTAGAAAAAAGTCTATGCATTGTGGAAAAACACTGAGCGTTGGCTCACTGTGCACCGTGTTGTGGACCAAAAGGGAAGGCGAGAGAGGAGAGTGAGAATTCCTTCCCCAAGAGTTTGCTCACAACATGAACACACTTGCCTTTGTTTCTCAGCATGGTATGGGCTCTCTGCTCCTCTCCCTCACACATATAATTGTTCTAGGACAGCTTGGATGAGTGCTTTCCTCTTGCTCTCTAGGGATTACACCCCTTTCCCTTGGGAAGACTGAATTTGTGAAAAAAAGCCTGGACAACATCCTGCATCAGTGTAGGGAGCGCTGCTTTAGATCACATATGTATCTTACAGCCCCTTCCTTACTAAGCAAGTCTTTAACTCTGTCAAGCACAGCATCTGGACACACATGGAGTTTCTCAGTGTCACCTGTTTTCCTGGTTTTTTTTGCTTAAAATCACTCAAAAATTCCAGGCGCTGAGCTGTTGCCTTTCAGAGATGTGAATACCCAGGCACCTACACTGACAGCATTGCTGGTTCTCTGCCACTTTTGCATGTTGTGTGGCTGTATGGAGGATGTGTTTGTCTCTGTTTGGAGGCAATGCTTTTCATTTCCATGAAGAGTCAGTGGTGCATCTGAAGAGGAGAAAAGACTTCTGGAAATGCAGACTGGCAAAGCCAGACATTTTTAATCTTGAAGGCATCTAGGATTGTTAGCCCAGACCAACTCTTAAGAGACATTTGGAGGACCCTCAGTTCAGCTGAAGTTCATGGCCCAAATGTGTATGTGATGCATACACATTGCTGGGACCTTGTGCCCCACAATAGGGTGGGAGAGACTTGGAGGGATGAGAACTGGAGTGGAGTAGGGAGTTATCTTCTAGCTGTTCCATGCAGTGAAAACAGATTTTCCAAAACTCATGCAGCAAAAAAACCCAAACCAAAACAACACCCAAAACCTACAAAAATTAGTGTTGCTATGGTCCCTGAAAGTATCAGCAGCTTAGCTTTTTAGGAAAATAGGAAGGTGGGCATTTTAAGTCTATGAAGAGTCTCTAAGGAAGAACAAAGTAAAAAAAGATGTACCAAATTAATGATTATTTCCTTGGAATCAGATATGTGAAAGTAATAGCTGATGCAGAAAGCATCAATAAAAGTAATCCTTCATCAATGTGTAAATTCTTAACAGTATTGCTGTTCAGGGCAGTGTTATTTGTTGCCAGCCAATAGGACAAGAGGCAACGGGCAGAAACTGATGCACGGGAAGTTTCATTTGACTATGAGGAAGAACTTTACTGTGCAGATGACCGAGCACTGAGCAAGTTGCTCAGAGAGCCTGTGGAGTCCCCCTCATCAGAGATACTCAAGAACCACCTGGACCCAATCCTGTGCTGTGTGTTCCTTGCTTGAGCAGGAGGGCTGGACCAGGTGACCCACTGTGGTACCTCCCAGCCTGACCCAGTCTGTGATTCTTAGATTACAAGTTTTAATTCCCCCTGTTCTGGTCTGAATGGGATGAAGAGTTCTCAGAATCTCTGCTCTCAATTGTCACTGTAGGGTTATGTCCATTTTGTGCCTTTTTGTGCTATGTGCTTTGCAGAACTTCTACATAACCTAAGGAAATTGTGACAGGAAGGTATTTCTGTCACTGCTTGCACACAGTTACTGTTTGAAATACTTACATTGTATTTCACAGTATGAAAAACTACCGAGATTATTTTATGAAATGTGGGGGAGACGGTGTTTGTCTAGAGTGTAGTGCCCATCTCAGCTCTGTTCTGAGAGCAGATGCAACCACTGCAACCTGTAACCCAGCCCCTCCTCTGGATAATCCTGCCTGATGGATGGGCAGGTTTCTGTATGACATAGGAAATGATTCACCAGCCTTTCATTTGCGTTTGTAAAACTTTTTTGTCATTCATTCATGCAGATACAATGGTAATGAATGGTGGTTCCTGGAAGATATCAATTTCATATGTTTCTTCCCACTAAGTCTTTAAAGTCAGAAGACTTTAGAAATAAGAGACTACTCCAATAGCTAAAGCTTTCTTCATGCCTATGCATAAGTTTGTAAAACCACTAATTAAAATGATTCATGCTGAAGTCATACTCAGCCCTCCTTCTTCAAAGAAACAACAAATACTGGGCTGTCTGAAGGACTGGGTTTTGCTTCTTAATCAACCCCATCCTTAGAGTGACATTTTGTTGGTGATGTGCATTGGGCCAACCTGTCTCACAGGCAAAATGTACAGGTGTGCAGGATAGCAGAACTAGAAGTACGGTATTTTTGTTTGTGTGGCTTCCAGTTCATGATGGATTTATCTGTATGGATCTAGGGAAGGGATGCACCCTCTGTTTTACCAGGGGTAAGTGACTCAGCAATCCTCAGACTTGTGTTTTATCAGCAAATTAATTTCTATCTATTTCCTTGCCTTCAAGACGAAACAGTCTCAGAGTCCTGAAATCACAGTGCACTTGCCTTTTTAGAAGAGCACAAAAAAACCCCTAAAATTCAGAAAAAGGTTTTAGAGTCTCCTCAGGCCGATGTCAGGGATACAAAAAGAGAAATGCAGACATTTACAGCTGGGCCATTTGTCAAATTAAATAATGCAATAGCACTGTTATAAAAATCAACAGTATGATTATTTATGAAATAAAGTGATTAAAATCAGTTATTTCTTCTCCAGCTCTCCTAAATATGTCAGGGGAATCATTCAGGAAGAAGCCCAAGTCAAAGTGTTAGAGCTGAGCAGCTCTGAGTTTTGAGGAAGCTGGCTTGCAATGAGGAAGTCAAGGTAATGTTAAGGAAAGGCTGGGTTTTTAACTAACGTTAGTCCCCAATATGATATTGAAAGAGGCAGTGGGTTATTTAACAGGAGCACTGTGGTATCTATGGTAGATAAGCAGGCCTTGCTGTTTGTGGCATGTGCAATGGAGACTTCCCTTGCTCCCAAATCCTGCTGCCCCCTCCTCTGCACGCTAACAGAGATGCATAGGGAAATGTACCCCTATTATGTCAAATAAAGCCTTTGCCTAGGGAGTCTGCTGTGGACATCACCGGTCTAGAGATGGACTCAGTCTCCACCTGTGTGCTGGGGCTGGGGCTGGTGCTGGTGCTGGAGCAACACACCTGCTTCTTGTTCCTGATATTTGAGCCTGTTTCTTTGGTTTCTTGGTATGACAGACCTAGTGCTCCACAGGAGTAGTACCAGCAGATGATGTGATTAGAGAGCAGCATTCCACGCTGGGATTATTATCTTCCTAATAGTGTGTGTGATCTCCTGGACCCTGTGTCATCGCTTTCCCCATCCTCACTGCATAGCAGTGGAGCTGAGCAGCATTCCCTTTGTGTAACTTCCAGACAAGGATTTCAAAACATGGGTTTGGTGCTAGAAAAAAATTTTTATATACCTTAGCCTTATATCACATTGTGACCACCATGATTTGACTTTAGATAGAAAACACTATAGGTTTCCTAAGAAATTATTTTCTTTTAGTTCTTTGCATATCATATGCAACATTTGCAACGTGCATCTGTGGAAAGAAACTAGTTCCCCTGATAACTGCTATGCAACATCTAGACTGCTGTGTAACATCTAAGGCACAATTTTTTGAGTAACCATTTTGGTAAATTAGCTCAATCATATCAAAGTATTAGATATCTTTTATGACTGGGGCTTTGGGTAGGTTTCCACCCTTCCATTTTATAATTGTGTGATTACTTTTTTAAAAATTGGTGCATTACACAAAGCACACTGAGTCCTCATCAAGAATCAAGTCATTAAGAAATTGCTCCAGCTTGTATGGTGCACATATGATTTATTCAAGGTAAAGGTGAATTGTCATAGAGGAAAACAAAACACATTAGGGAAGATTTTAATTAATGGGGAAAAATACTGGGGGCTGGCCAAATACTGCTTCCACCATATTAATGTAATTGTAAGTTCACTGAAGCCAAGGTGAATAAGAAAAAAAATGTTGACTGTGTAAACAGTTGAGAGGAGAGCAGGAGCAGGAGAAGGTGAAGAAGGAGGAGGTAGAGGAGGTGATGGAGGAGGAGGAGAAATGGTCTTCAGAAACCCTTTAGTCATATCCTGAGGCTATATGTTTAAATAAGCATTTCTCATCCCAAAATAGCAAAGTAAGATGCTGTTTCCTATTTTATGGAGGGAAAAGTTGTCCCACGAGTAGAGAAAGAGTTTTGGCATGCTAAGCTTGGTCTGCAGCCTGGTGATTTCTCCTCTGAACCTTGCCCTCCCATAATAGTCACTTTATATTAGATTTTTTTTTGTTTGATTGATTTTCACTTGCTTCATGAAATAAAAGTTGGAGGAAAGCAGTTTCTAAGTCACTGCCTGGTTTTCAGGGACAGACCTAAATTCTACTGTGAACTTCAGAACTGCTGAAGTCCATTACAGATTTTGAGGTCTAGGGCTGGAAGTTCAGGACCCTATCTGAGGTCTGAGACTTTAACAGGTAGACCAGGCTGATGCCACTCCCACTGCAGGTGCCTTACCTGGTCTTGTAAGGACAAGGTGGAGAAGGCTGGGACACTCTTGGCCCACTTGATGCTCATGAACAGAAGTCTGGCTGCTGACTCGCAGACGGATTCAGTGGCCACTTCGTAGAGGTACATAGGGGTACCGTTGACTTCATGTGGGTACTAATGTCAAAAAGAAAATAAAGCAACTTCATACAGTGTCACCAAGGCAGTCTCATCTTCCTCTCCCCTACAACTGCCATTCTGCGCATCATACTCGTGCTCAATACAGAGTGTGCACTCTCCTGTTCCACAAGCAGAGGGCATTGCTTGCAGTGAGCTCACTCCAAACTGCTCCCTGCTGCTTATCCGCTTGGATGAGCTGTACTACAGAAACAGTTTGGAGGAAAAGACTGAAGGGAGAATGAAATTATTATCCTGGGGGTGGAGGGGGAAGTATGAAAATGAAGTGTTATCCTTTACTCTGTTACACACTCGCACATCTTTGATAGCAGAGTTAGAAGAATACAAATTTGATTAAGAATTTGTGGTTTGTAACCTTGCTTCAGAAGCTGATTTAGCATTCCAACCCTGCTCAGCAAAGCAGTAAGCACTCACTTAGCCTTAAACTTCATCTTGCTCCCTGACTGCAACAGGCTGTAAGTAAATGAGTAGAGCTAAACGTAACTATCTAAAGGCTGTGTCGGGTTGGAATGGAGTTATGTTTTCAAGTGTGTGCAACATTTTCTTGCTAAATAATTTCTGATTCTGTGTTTTCCAAAATTACCATGTAAAACTGTATATTGTGACCACAGTCATGATGGGTTCTGCCAAGCTACCAACTCTGAAAATGCAGAACTATTTAAGCAGTCTCTTCTGTGATTTTCTAGATGCAGTGAATATGTAAAATACCATTGCAAATGGGCTAATGAAAAACATCACCTCACAGCTAATTCCTGTGCAGTTGAGGCCACAGCAGTGCTTCCACTGGTCTGCTTAGGAAATGTCACAACCAAGAAGTACAGAGCCAGCTTAGCTAAGTTTGGTTTTTGTGTCTATGTGGGCAAGCTACAGGCTTTGGTCAGTACACATAGTACTTTCTGGACTATACCACCATGGAGATGTGCATTTTGCTGAAGAAAACCCAATGATTGCATGCCTTGTGAAACAATTTGTTTAAAACTGACTTGTGGATGGGCTCCAGGCAGGAATAGCACTTCTGCAGCCATGAAGGTGTAAGAATGAAGGAGAGACAGGGTTTGTATGGAGCAGGTTATCAGTCAGTGCTGCTGCTCACCCCTTCTGCAGAGGGCTTCTCATCCTGTGCACCTCATCTCTTCAGGGCTTTAGGGATATAACAAAAGTCCCCACCACAACCCTCAGAGCCTCAAGCCTTGCTCTTTGCCATGTCTATCCCAGAGGCAGGAAGGAGCTGACAGGTTGCAGGCACCCTGGTCTGCAGGCCTGCTGAGGGCCAGAGCGGTGGCTGACCTTTGGGGTGGGCTGTGCCAGGCCCACCAGAGCCTGTCTCTCTGGAGTGCCAGTGACGGTGGCCAGCTCCAGGCCATGGGGCTCCAGCTGGGAGACGGCGGTGAAGAAGGCGGGTGCTGGCAGGGCAGCGGTGGGGAAGTGTGGGGTGCCGCCGCTCTCCTCCTTGTGCCCGCGAAAGTAGAGGGCCACCTGCTTCCGTATTGTCGACGTCCGGGGGCCCCGCTCGTGCTGCACCGCTGTGGGGCACCAAGGAGAGATGAGGGAGTCACCAGGGGGTTCCACACTGGGTACCCTGCACTGCTCGGCTGGGCTTCCCTCCCTCCTTGCAATTTTCTCGTGCCCCTTGCCCAAGAGATGTCTCGGGAGAAATGTCCGAGGCTGTCACAGGATGGGGGGGTTATTGGGGGCCAGGGCAAGGAGACACCAGAATGACACAGCGCTCCACAGTTCAGAGTAACTCTGTCCTGCTGCCCTGCCACCCCGGCCCCGGGAGAGGGGGAGCAGGTACCATCTTTGTTCATGTTGACCTCCAAGCACTTCTTCAGCCGGCAGGCTCGGCACTGGTTCCTGTGCGTCTTGTCCACCGGACAGCCTCCCTGCAACACAGCCAGCCGTCGGGCCGGGGGCAGCAGCGCGCCCATCCCGCCGGCTCCCAACACCCTCCCCGCGGCGGCGGGCACAGAGGGGCCGCCCTTGGGTGCGTCGGGCCGGGCCGGGCCGGGCGCTCGGCCCCGGGATAGGGCGGGCCGGGCCGCCTTCAGCACCCGAGACAGCGACGGCGGTGCCGCCCCCTCGGGGCGCCCCGGTGCACCGAGCCCCACTGCGCCTTCCCAGCCCCACGTCCCCGTGGGGACGGTCCGCGGGTGGAAAGGAGCGCGGCCGGAGCGGGAAGGCGAAAAGCGGGGCTGCCTCGGGCCAGGCGCGGGAACGACACGCCGGCATGTAAACTGATGGTTGTCTATCTCCCGGCCATGTACTGAGGCTTATGGAAGGCTGCCCCTCTCTGTCCCTTCATAACGAGAAGATGTGCTGGCTGCGCCCTCCCCCAGCCCGCATCCCTCCGCCTCCCTGCGCATCCCCCCGGCCTCTCCGGTGGGCTGGGGAGGGGGGGGCGTGCGGGAGACAGGCGGGCTGGGACATCCAGCGCCCGGCCTTGGCCCGGCACCCCCTGGGAAGGGAGGGTGAGACTGCATGGGTGCTGCGCCTTGCTTGCTGCGGGTGTCTGTTGGCGAGGGGAGGGCAATACGGACCCTTGGGGAAATGCAGGGCGCAGGCGGTGAGGGGGATGCTCTGCGGCTGGTACCTGATTTCCTGATTTGCAAACATAGGTCCTGTTCCTCCTGATGCTCCGCTTGAAAAATCCCGAGCACCCATCGCAGGCATACACCCCATAGTGCTTCCCGGAGCTGCGGTCCCCACACACTTTGCAAGGGATGTCTAAGATGCGACCTGAAAGCAGAGAAGGGAAAGAGGGAAAGAGAGCGCTCAGCAATCTGACCTCCGGAGAGATTAGCCCCAGAGCCGCAGTACAAGCAAATAACGAAGTGATTTTATAGCCAACTTTCTTTTCCTTGAGCAAGTGTCAGTCTTCTACAATGAGCATTATTCATGCCCCACTACGTTTATTTGGATCTTCTATAATCGCCAAGACCCATTTTGGAAGGGAAGATTACAGCAGCGGGAGCAGCAGACTTGCCCGCTAGAAGTGAGGATGAGGAGGGTGGAGAGGGAATTGCGAGGATTTAGGGGGAGTGTTTCCTTCGTTTTCTGGCGCACGGCAAACAAAGGTCGGCACTTTCCCTGGGCAGGAGAGCGGTCAGGAGACCGAAGCAGAGAATTAAACCAAAACAAAATAAAATGACCAGGAAGCCAAGTAATCTCCTCTCCCCGCTAGCAACCCAGGGAAAGGGGGTTGGTTTCTGCCGCAGAGAGGGCGTGCCATTTTCTTCACCTCAAAACCTGCACCAAAACTTTCCGCCTCGTTTTTGTGAGCTGAGGAGTCTGCGGGCGAGCTTGGGTGCGAGTCTGCAGGGCGGGCAGCGCCCCTCCGCTCCGCTCCGCCTCTCCTGCAGCCCCCTCTCCACCAGACGCTGCTTTCACACCGGCTTTGACTAGAATTGCAAATGCTCTGAGGGGGATGCAAAAACTCGTAGAGAGTATTGCAGCCCCGTTCAAGAAACCCGCCAAAACCCCGCTCGGCTTCTGCCTTTTCTATGTTTTTTTTCTTCTCTCTTCTATTCTTTTTTCTTTTTCCTTTTTTTCTTTTTCTTTTTTTTCTTTTTTTTTTCTTTTTCTTTTCTTTTTCTTTCTTTTTCTTTTTCTTTTTCTTTTTCTTTTTCTTTTTCTTTTTCTTTTTCTTGTTCCTCTTCTCTTCTCTTCTCTTCTCTTCTCTTCTCTTCTCTTCTCTTCT